TAAATCAGGTCTACAGGACACAATCAAACAGACATTATTAAGAGGCCAATATGTTCCTATTTTACACAGCACGATTCTCTGTATCACACCATGCAAGATATAAAAAGTTGGATTTCAGGTTCTCACAGCACATCACTCATTTCCACTTCTTATTTCACCGTCTCACATTCAACTTGTGTTCAGATCTTAAATTCATTCAGTATATTCATTGATGGAAGAGCATTAGGTTTCAACAGCAATATTCGAACCACCTGATGATGACCATATTGGTCAAAACACGTAGTGCACCAGTGTTGTGAAAAACGTAAAGTTGGTGCTGTTTAACTAATTAAGCACTACACCTGAAGACGTATGGGGAAGTGGGTGTACAGACCCATGTTTCCTTGATCTCGCCACTAGTTTGAGGTGAGTGGTCAGCTTCTCGCCCTGGCCACTTACCCCCAGAGAAACAGACCCTGGTACCCATTGGATAGGAGGCTGGAGAGGCCCTAGAGCCAGTTTGGATGACATGGGGAAGGGAAAATTTTTGAGCCTACCTGGTCTCGAACTCCGACCCCTTGGTTGTCTAGCCCACAATGAGTCACTATATCAACTGTGCTATCCCAGCTCTAGATGTGAAAAACACTTTAAAGTTCAAAGTGAATTTTTAGATTTTAACACAAGCTGCATGTGAGATGGAGAAACAAGCACTAAAAATTGGTTACAAAGAGTTATATCTTTTGCGATATAAGATGACGTAGTCCACTAAAAGTCAACTGACGTTTTGGAGGAACATATTGCAACAATATATGCTACCATGCAGGCCTGAAAGTGTCAAAAACTGAAGTCTGAGGGGATCATGAGGACCCAGCTATGTTGCAAGTGGTGTAGGCAGCAGTATTATGAGTAAAAACATACAATCCAATAGATATATTGCATTAAAAAACAACATCTGAAATTGCAATGAACACAAATGAATAATGCTTGTGACATACAAAATTCAAAACTTCTGTTCACATGTCAAAATATATGTAAAAACAGACACATCTGTTATATAAACTTTCAACATTTTGAGCTGTTTACATACAATTCATACAGTTTGCATGCATGTAACCACAAATATTGCTTAATATATATAAAAAACATGTGACAAAAGACTTAAGGAAAACAAAATTATATCCTACAATGTAAATTATGTTTAATGAAATTATAAAACAACAGGCATCATAACTAACTGTAAACTGAACATTTTCCCAACTCCTATGCTATGTAGGCAGTCTATATATAGAATGCCACTGATAAAAAACTTATAAGAAAATATCATGATTTTAAAATTTAGTAGAAGGTATTATGTCCAAACAGTGTCTGCCACAGAGCAGTTAAAGAAAGATGTATCATAGTTCTAGATGTTGGAGTTTGATTTTGTAATTCATTATTCAGTAATTCTAAATATGAACATATTTACTATTCAGTCTATAAATTATGATTATTAAACACTGGCTCTTAAGTCATTTGTTTATATGCTACTTTGTTCCTTGTTATCAACTGTGTAATTAAAATACAGTGCATTCATTCAATTAAATGGCTGAGCAACTACAAGATATGAACATGAGACTGGAAGTTCTCATGATGGTGACTAAGAAGACTGTCTTCTGAGATGTGATGCCACAAAGTTGAGTAAATACCTATCAGACTATCTAACTTACTTCATGGAGCTGAGCCCTTCTTCAGAAGCTGCCAATTGTTCAGCTACTCAAGAACTTCCTAGCATTTTATGGAACACAAGGGTTCATTATTGTGTTCACAAAAGCCCTCTGCTGGTCCCTGTCCTGAGCCAGATCACCATCCCATTCTATATCTCTATGATCCATTTTAATATTGTCCACCCACCTACGCCTAGGTCTCCCAGTGGTCTCTTTCCTTCTGGCTTTCCCACCAGTATCCTATATGCATTCTTCTTCTCCCTCATTCATGGTACATGCCCTGCACACCTCATCTTCCTTGACTTGATCACTCTAATTATGTTTGATGAGGAGTACAAGTTATGAAGCTCATCATTATGCAGTTTTCTCCCAATCTCCCACAACTCCATCCCTGTTCAATTCAAATACACTTGTTAGCATCCTGTTCCCCAACACTCTCAGTCTATGTTCCTACCATAATGTCAGAGACAAAGTTTCACATCCATACAGAACTACAAGCTAAATTATAGTTCTGTATATTCTAATTTTTATGGTTTTAGACAGCAAAGAAGAAGACAAAAGGCTCTTGTCTAAATGGTAACAAATGGTATCCAAATTCAATCTCCTCTTAATTTCCTCCTGAATTAGGTTTTTATTTACTATCATTCCCAAATATCTGCAATGTTCAACATTTTCAAAACATCTGTTAGCTATATTCATGTCATGATTTTGCCCCACATTCTGGTGACGAGACAGCAACATATACTCATTTTCTAGGTTTACTTTAGAATCTATTAGACTACATGGCATAACATCCGAGATGACAGTAATCTGTACATGACATGATGTAAACAAACATGGTTCTTAACTAGTGAGTAAATGCATGTGTTTTTCTGATTTGTAGGTATTGTAAGGAAAAACACATTCCTTACAGCGTCATTTCAAGAGCTGTTACCAACATCTTGAATTTTCTCTTAAGTTCAAAAATTAAAACAGAATTTCATGTACAAGTATGTACAATGAACATTTTGTAATGTTATGGCAAATGATAATTTCCTTGGCTACACACTTTTTCATTTTATTAAAATTCGCAATTCTAGGTTGTAGGTTTCTTTTTACATATTTTTTACACTGTCTCCAGTTATGGTCTACTGACCTTTGTGGCAAGACTGAAGGAATCCATTTCTAAGATAGATCCATACACAAGATCCCAATTATGCTTACTTGTAATGATGGGGCAGTGGCGATTATTGCGAATCCACTTCCCAATTTCACACAAAGTTTTGGCTTTGTCATAAGTGACGAATACAGAAAAATTTAAGTGGATCTGGTCAGTCTTGAAACCACGATTTTTAAGCCACAAGTCAAGCATCCAACAGTGTACGCACCTTAATGAGCTAAGGTAAGTGCACAAAATTTTGCCATTGGCAGCCATGACATTTGTGGTTAGTGAGGTTGTTGTAAAAAGTGTGTATGTTCACACAACAGACATTTGCTGAATTATCATAACATGGATCAAATTTTCTGTTTGTAAATTATCCAGCAATAATTTCTTGATCACTGAAATTATTAACGTGCGTTATACAGAGTCATCAAAATTACTGTCAGAGTTTCCGTGGCCTATAATTTTCAAACCGGACATTAATTTAGAATCATATTTTATATCACTGAAAAGCTTGTACTTTCTTGTGTTGTAATTAATTTTAATGTAACTGATATGGTTGTTTAATTTTTGATTACATATGTGAATCAAGAATGAGCATACAATTTTGCCATCTTCTCCTACATGGAGAAGTTTAAATCACTGTAACTGCTTTCGGCTTCATTCACAATTCTGTGACACTTAATTTGCTGCCAGGAGTAGAAATGTATACTGCAAATGGAGCCAAGGTGACTTGGAAGACGGCTGGGAAAAGCATACTCCATAATGTACTTGCACTACTTGTTAACTCCCAGTGACGCAGTAGTGACCTTACAGAAGGTTTTAAATGCAATGAAAGATGAACTTGGAAGACAAAAAATATTTGTTGTGTATTGAAAACACAAGTTGTTGGGAAGCGTAACAACCAAAATTCATGACACCAGAGTGATGAATAAAGAATATAGAAAATCAAAGGAACAAAATTATTTAATGGAAAGGAATGAAGTACAGCACGAGTAAATTAAATTTATGCGTCTGATTGATCAATATGTTAGTCACAGCACTGATCCAAGAACTGTGAAATGATTAGGTAGAGGAAATCATTATTTCTTATGTTACGCACTATGATTTGTACTGTCAAACGGGGATGGGAGGAAATCTCGTATATTAAAAGCAAGAATATAAGAAAGTTGTGGGAAATGGGACAACTCTCCTGATTCACAATCTACTGAGAAGTAACTAGTACAAGAAACAAAAAAATATTCCTCTGCAATTCTAACAATTTAAGCAAATATGTGTGATAGAAAGTCACAGCACATCTTCTAGACTTGGTATCATAGATTATATTAGCAAGGATAATAAATGAAAGGTGTAACAACAAAGATTTAGAAAAACAATGTTTTTCCATACACATGCAAAAATATTTCTTTGGTAATTTATGTGAACCAGAGAGAAGAGGAAGCCACAGTATTAGAAGCAGTAGCAATATTTGGTTGCTTGCTTTCTAATGCCACATGTTGACAATTGTCATTTATGCCCTTTTTTACCTCACCTGGTTGGCATATTTTGTAACTGATTTTCTATTCACAGAAGCAATAATTGTTAAACTTATTTGAACTGTGTACCACAAAAACCAAGTGTTAGGTGGACACAGATTTATGTATCGAACAAAACACACCTCAATAAACTAAACTTTACTTCACACACAGGAAGGGCAGAATACATGATATATCTCACAGTATAGTACACTAGTGATGGAAATGCTGCAGATGTATTTAAACAGAGGAGAAACATCCATGAATATGGGCATTCACATATCGACACACTGGTACACTCATCTTGTTAAAAATGACTGTTAAGTATGTTTTCCAGTCATCAAGACTTCTGGTTATACATATACTGCATTTTCATAAGTTCCACTGAAGTTGACCATGTAAACAACAAAAACAAAAAAAAAAAAGTAAAGCTATCCATGTAACAGGCTGTGAAGGCCCATAGGGTTTTGAGATGTTGAGGGTCCCACATTATCTAGATAATTGACTCAAAGATGGTGGCCTTACGCGCCAGCCACGCTTTACTCCCCAGGAAAATTATTTAATTAATTCCTGGTACTCATTTCTGTTAGAGGATGAGTAAACCCCAGGGCCATAGTGCAGCTGGAAGGATTAGGTCAATTGAAAAAATCCAATGACCTCATCGGGACTTGAACCCACGACCTTTTGGCTTGTAGCATAGCCCCTCAACCAACTATGCTACCGCGTGCCCCCAACAAAAACAAGTTCTTCCAAAAATATCTGTTACATTTATGCAGACTGAAATGCAAATTTTACAGACACATAAAAAGAAGCCATTTGCAAAACTGAGGTATTTCTTTCTGTATTTGATACAGAGTCAACAAATCAAAAGACATGTCTTTTATCTAGGACACAGACCTTCCATCCATTCCATCGATAGTGCTGGAGAAGTTACAATACAGTACTGTAAAATCAAAATAGAGTTCACATTTATGAGAAGACCTTAAGGATCATGATGACTGAGACCTGTAACACTATATATGGAAACTAAGAGAGAATTTTACGTAAAGAATCACATACATATCAGCATGCATCTAAAGCATAACCCAATAATATTATGAAAAGTTAAACAGTTTCATCTAGTTTAACTGTTCATCATATTATTAGTGTGACGGACCAGAATGGAACAAAAGAAAAACCCAATAAATATTTATAAGAGGAAAGAATGTTCTCAATAGAATCATAAGATATAAATTGACACATTTTATACACCATTCACTTTTCCATAAATTATTATCATCATTGCTAGGCAATGGTTCAGTGACAAAAGTTCCCGCAAATACGAACAGACGTGGATGTCCACTGATAGCCAATGGCTCGCCAATCACATTTCGTAGCAACAGATAAACATAGAATAACATAAGAACTTTATTCGGTTCCCCCTGAAGTTATAAAAGAGTTAGTTTAGAGTACAGTTGTAAGGTAGTCATAGTTCAGTTGTAAGGGAGTTGTAATTCAGCTGTAAGAGAGTTCAGTGTTCAGCTGTGGAGTGTTAACCTGTGGACAATGAAAGCTGAAGAAGTGACTGACTTGTAAATCGGAACCAGGTCAGTCACACAGAAGAGAAGACACTCACAGTCCAGTAAGGAATGGAGCGAGTCTGAGACAGTCATTAATTGTGAGCTGTCATAATCAATTGTAATTAAAAGTGACTGCAAGGAAGCTCCAGTAAATTCAATCACCCAATCCAGAACCCATTACTACTTGTAATGGAACCCCAGACACGTGACAATATGTCCAATTAAAATACAATTTACATAAAACCATAACTCCTTTTTGAGTTTATGTAAATACATATGTGGCCATGGATTTTAGCTCATTATTTTGAATTTCCTTGGCTGAAAGGGTCCGTTAAATGTACACCGTATACTTTCAGTCTTGTTTCATATGCAACTGAGATTTAATAGCAGGGTAAATTCCAGTAATTTATTTTGCTAATAGCATGTGTGGAACATGATTAGCAAATAATAAAAAACAGGGAAGTGTATTTACAATAAACATTGAGTCGCAGTAACACCACAGCAAAATTTCATGGTTACCGCTCTAAAAAGGATCAATGATGCACATCTGGATTTCAAATCATTAGGTATCATGTTTCCATTGGGGAAAAAAAAAATTACTTTTGTGATACACTGGTAACTTAGTGCTGCTCTGTTAACCAGCCTTTGAAGTTTCTGGAGACACTACACTCCTTCAAGATTTTTATTGTTGCATCAAATGCATTTTAAGCAAGAATACAAATCATGACACCCCCACCCCCCAACTTCGATTTATACTATTTAAACTATGATCCACTTGTATTTATTTCTGTTATTAACAAGGGCCTCAATTTAATCTTTTACATTAATCTCTATTCATATTAATATATCTGACAGTCATGTAAAGTACATCAAGTGATATCAAAACAAAATGAAGAAGCAGTAATCCCTTACTAATCATGAATTTCAAGAATCTGTGATTTTCTGTCTGTATCCAGGTTTTGATTTTATGATCCCAACTTGTAATTTGTGCATACACAGGAAAAAGGGTTTATATTTGTGGGGGACAGGGCTGTAGCAAATATAACACCAGTTTTATAGCTTCCACGTAACCATTACAGCACACACTTTTGTGATACTTAATTAGCAAACTTCCCTTCCTCAGGGGAAAACAAACTCAGATTATGAGATTACTGCGTGACCCGCGTACGCATGTCTATGTGGCCCATCTATTCAACATTTGAGCCACGTGACCGATCTTCACAAAATGTGGCAGAAACATTATGCCACTGGTGGCTACCAAGATGTCACTAAATTTTCATTTCTTACCACCAGCCATAGGAATGTAACAGGCATGCAAACTTCTGAACTGAGAACCATAGTAGCAACATTTAATTTAGGATCCTGAAGATGTACAATAATAGAAAACAAAACAAAAACTCCGTGGCTTGAGTCCACAAGTGAATTATACCAAGTGTGCGACCGCCGTTTTGGTCACATTTGGAAGACCTAAGAAGATTAAGAAATTCTTCAGTGACGAGGAGGGCAATTAGGATGCGGAGAAAAAACAGAAGTTGACTGCTTCCAGTCTGACCAATCATTTTGTGGAAATCAATCAATTTAAGTATGAAGCTTAGCCTTACCTTTAAACAAGGTCTGGATGAACAAATGCAGCACTTAGAAGCAGGGGTTGCAGGATTACAACAGGGAATAAGACAACCACCCATCTAATGCTTGGGGGAGGGGGGGCAGAGAAACCACCAGTGCCTAAGTCACTTCCATCACTTAAAACCTGCAACCTGCAACCAACCTCTGCTTTGCATAAATCATATCCTTTCACCCACTGGGGATTACTGAAACATGTCATGATGACTTGAAAGATCATATGTCACTGTCACCTATCTCGCAGTAAATAATAAAGCTAACAATTTCAATATCAATTAATATGTTACCAAATGCTTTTTCAGCTGGTATGGAAACGGGCAAAGAACTGATGCACAATGGCAAACCTGTCTAGACTCAAAAGTTGCACACATTCCAGTGCATTATACTCGCATGTTTCAGTCTTGAGGCTAAAACAGAACATACACATACTGGGAACTGTTTCTAGGAGGAGGAGGAAGGGGAGGGGAGGAGGAGAAGGAAAAAGAGGAGCAGCAGCAGCTGTCACATGAACAGACATTAGTTTGGAATATGTCATACATACGAGTACTTTTAGTTTTTAGATCAAGTGAAGTTTTATGAATGATGGCAGAGGCCGAACAAAGTTCACCTAACCTCATATTTCCTATAAGGTGTTGGGCTTGACAATCCAGTGACTTTCTGGAACATAACTCCTGAAAATGGTGAGCAACTGCCATACAACACTTAGTTCTCAGGAAGGTACACAGATTAATAACTGACAACCAATGAGGAAGACATAACAAAATTCTTCCTTCTGATAAATGTTAATAATTTTCAATAACATTTTACCAGCCTAGCAATTACATCCTATTCCACACCAAATCCAAAATTCTCTCTGAATATAAATCAGCAGTTTGTTAACATAAATAAAGAGTACAGTGTTATATAAAACTAAACTGTCAGCTGTGCCTCTTCTTATCATGGTCAACAGATGGCAGTAATAATGGTGAGATCTGAGGTTCTCACAGAACTGAGCATCAAGATTATGGCTTTTCTGGATGAGTTGTCATGTAGTCTGGAAGATGGGAAGAGTCAAAAGTGTCCTCTGGAATACTTGTACTCACCAGTCAAACTATGCAAAGTCCCATCCCACAAGACCACTCTCTTCAGTAATACATATGTTCCTTTTGCAACATTTACTTTTATAAACAGTAGTTTCTTGATAAAATGATCCATGGGATCTGTAATGTATATAAAACTAAAGTGTTTAATCTTATGTTCCTTCAGGCTCAATTCAAGGCAGTAATACATCGAACACTAGAGACAGAAAAGTCTGATCTTGAACCAAATTCTTATGATGGTACCAATTTCCTTAATTACTAATATTTTAAACAAACAATAATCATTACCTAATGTTAATGATATTGAAGTATCCAAGGTAAATGGCATAACCAAAAAGTTTCATAACTTTTGTTAGCAAACTTGAAAAAGTGTGATCAGTAACACTAACTTGCAAAAAGAAGATTTTGAATATATGCTATTATAGGACAAACAAGCAGCAGGAGTTGATTAGACTAGTAAAACCCATTTGGATTTTACAATTTTTCTAACTGGAACCTTAAAGATTTGGTCAATTCACATGATGCATAAAAGGAATCAACCTATAAAATTATCATATGAACATGTAGATAAAAAAACTGAGAAATACAGGGAGGATTTTTACTTTGTTGACTGGTTCCATGGCTCTGTGCTTACAGCAACCTGTACAATGCCAGCTGTGAGCCATATGAATTTTGCTGACGAATCACATGCCTGACAGCTTGTAATGTTGGGAATGAAGCAGTTACAAATCACAGATCACAGGAGTTGCTGAAAATGCTATTCCTCTGTATGTAGACATCTTTTACAACTGTTTAATTAAAAAACAGAGATATAACAATCTTTCTTCTACTTGTAGCACACCACGCACCTACTTCTATTGGATGGAGTGGGACTTCATGGGTTAGATGCAGATTCTGTGAAATCCAGATTATTTTGCGTATTTATGTATCCCTGCAAGTGAAACCATGCTTAATCAGAAAACAACATCAACTGCAGATCGATCTCATCTTCAACAACAGACTGTAGAAACCAAATGCAAAAATGAACCCTGCTAGTTGTATTTTGTACACGCAAAGCATGCGTGGACTACTGTTGTTTTATAGGGTCCAAGCTTCTGCAATTGTATTGCTATTCTTGCACTAGACATTGACACTCCAGTCTCTTGAGCTAGACATTTCAGTAATTTTCTAGGTGTATGTTCAAGTCTGGCCCCTGTGCCATCTAACTTCTCCTCAGTAAGCACTCAGCATTTATGTTTTTGCTCCTTGTCTGTTAAGAGTCCTGTTGTTCTAAGTTTATTTGTCAAATTGTAAATTGTTTGTCTGCTGCAAACTCAATCACAAAATTTACATCGAAAATTTCACTGACACATTCTAGCAGATCCGTATTTCACATAGGTGTCATACAGAAAGACACGTTGCTCTGAAGTATACTGCACCACTACTACCCTGCTCACTAACCATAACTGAGAACAAATAGCTAATGGAGCTGATAACTGTAGTCTACTACTGACAAATCATAAACAAACTCCCACGCATGAAGTGCACTGCTCGCTGTGAAACATAATGCTGTCAAGCAGTCCACAAGTTAATTACTTCCCTTCATTCCAACGTTATTGGCCCCCAGGCATGCTGATTCATTGGCAAAATCTGCATGTGCCTTGTGGCAAGCAGCACACCAGTTGCCGTGAACCAGTCAACAAATTTAAAAAACTCTAAGTACTAGGTAATACAGTGAACCCACCATTTAAGGTTTCTATGGGGAGGGGTGAATTTTAATACTAAACTGAGGAAAATCCTAAAAGGAAATAATTTAACACTGAGATTACTGACTTTGAGTAATTTACATTGAACACTAAGCGAATGAAAACCTTAAACTGAGGAACATTAATTGTGGGTTCCACTCTAAATAAATGTTTGGATACTAACAGCTATTACCAATATATGAATTCACACCCATAATTTTCATTGTAATGTATGTTCAAATAGATATGGAGTTATCACAGAGTTTGTTTATTATTTTCATAAAAGATGATGTTTAAAAGAAACAAGGCTCATAATTGGGAAAAAATTATTGCTCTACTTTACTCATACATTCACATTTTTGGTAGTGCATATAAGTCAAATTCTGAATTGATCCAAACTTTCTATGTAACTTTGGTACAATAGGCCAGAAGTGCCCGCAGTACAAGGGACTTAGTCCCACCCCACTAGCAATAAAACAAAATTAGCAACTTTAACAAACTAAGACTATGATGGTGGGTTTCTGGATTGTGATATCATATAGTTTTGTGGTTGGATACCGACATTTTAGAGAAATACCTCAAAGATGGAGGCAGCAAATCTCTCTGAAACATCCATATCTGCTCACAAAAACTATATTGTGTCACAATCCTAACAGTCACCTCTGTGAAAACCCTCACATTTATATATATGAAGACTTCTGGATTGTCCTGAAATCAAAATACTGGAAAGGCACAAGAAGTCAGAATACATCAGGAAATCATCCTAGGCCACTGATCTAAATTCTCACTTCTGAAAAAGTCTACATGAACCTGACAAACTTTACCACACTAACAAAAAATGCAGAAACTTAGGCATGTTATTTAGCTTGGACAACAACAATCAAAGGAAACTGCTATGGCACAGTGCTCTCATCACATCAAGCTTTTGTTACATGAATAGAGTCACTCATTTCTTACATTTCCTATGTCTCCCGTTCGACTCGGAAATCATAGTCATACTGAAAAAGATGAAAAGAAACAATTAGTATTTCAACAATATTTCTCAACATTCATTAGCAAATATTTTTAAGATTTCTTATAATGTCAAATTTGGATACACAATTTCATTACATTTAAATGGAGACTTCTCATATAGTTAAATATTTACACACAATGAAATAAAAGGAAGATGTAATTGCTTACTTCTTTGTTGAGTTCATGTTTCGTCTTAGATTTAATTACAGGAATCTGATGCTGTAATACAAAAAATTTAAAATATTACTTCTGGCTGTCTACAAGACATAACTGAAATACAATATGCTTGCTCATTACGACATCAACAAAGGAAACGTATCATACACTTACTGTATGTCGATGGGAAAGATTTTGTAAAGATGGATTCAAAATAAATGGCACTCCATCAAGACCTAAAATGAAATTATACAATTATGCAAGTCTGAGACATTTAAAACTGCACCTGAATAATAATAATAATAATAATAATAATAACAACAACAATAACAACAACAACAATAATAATTGTAATGAATGAATCAACAGAGGTAATCACTGAAATGAATGATTACTTTCACAATAGCAGAAATTTGTAAGAAGGAAAATGATAGATAAGAAGTTAAGTTATTTTCATTCTGATAATTAAAATTATGTACTTTTCAAATGGTTTCTTTCAGATTTTCTGGCTAAAACAGTGAATTCATTTATTGTCTCTCCCATGCATTCCATATATCTTGCCCGCAACCTCCTCCCTGATTGGTCACGATAATAATACTTGGTGATGAAGTTCCTAATTATGCCACTTCCTCCAGTTACTTCCTTCCAAATATTCTGCTAAGAACCCCGTTCTCAAATAATCTACATTAAATTTGGGGTTCTCACAGTAGTGACTATGAAGAGTAACATTTTCTATAGGTACATATCGTCTCCATTTTCAGGGCTGAAGAGTAAGCCAACCAAGAGGCTAGCAGTAGGCACAATATTGTATTTCATACTGGCTGCATGCACACAACAAAAAACAACAATGCTCTACACAAGCAGGTTAATGGGCCTACAACAAAAGAGACACATGTGCGCCACTGCAGATTATGTTAAAAGATGCCACAAGGAGACTGAAACTGTTTTTACTATATTTACTAGGGTGACCTATTTTAATTTGAATTGTAAAATTGAGATAAGCAGTGCAGTGAACAGTTTAGTATAACGAGGACACCTGATGATGGCCGTATATGGCTGATACATGTTGTGAATGAAGATTAAAGTGACTGTAACAATTTTGTGTTGCATTTTGGAGGAAATATATATTGATGAAATGACAAAACCGTCAATGAACTTCTACCACATGAAAATGATGTTACAATGCAGAAGACTGTGGCCTTCAACTTATCTATAACTATGTTCTCTCTCTTAATATGAGACACAAAGTTTCGGATCCATAGATGGCAAATGAAAGACTGTGTTTCTATAATTTTGCATTTACATGTGTACACAGTTGACAAAAGATTCTGAAATGATTGGTAATAAGTGTTCTCCAAATTTAAGCGGCCCTTAATTTCTCTGTGCACGTAATTTTGACTTGTTACTCTCATTCCCAAACATCTGACCTTCATCATTCATCATTTCCAAACGGCTTATTAGCTACCTGTATATTATAATTCTGTCCAGAATACAGATGCTGTGACATGAATATACACATCTTTATCTCTGCATGTGCTTTGAGATGAAGCTTCCTGCCATCACCTACCCCATTTTCCTCACTTTGAAAAAAAAAATAAATGTAGGCTTATGCTATAACCTTGCTGTGTGTGTGTGTGTGTGTCTGTCTCTATGTGTATCCTCTCTAACAATTTTTGAATGCCTGACCCATTCATCATGAAACTTGGAATGCACACTGTGGCATGTAGAGCTGTTTCTAGGCAACAGCTCGGCAAACACATTCCCGTGGTAATGGATATGCATGCAACAATAGAGGTACTGTTGAAAAAGGTGTTTCCTATGGTGGTATATGCCTAGGGGTCATAAGGAAGACAAGTAAAAACAGTGTATTAATAAAATCAGTTTCATTAATCCCAATTTTGTCTGATATTTTCAGTTTTTAGTTCATCATTTCTTAATAAAGTCACAGCACCTAATGAGAAAAAAGAAATAAATTACATTGGAAGAACTGAATACTAAAATCTTAGCATTATTTTTCACCAACTTACCTTTTTTTTATATTCTGTTATTAATTATGTTACTTGCTTAAACAAATACGAATAAAAATATTTAATCACTAAAATATATCATAAAATATCAAACTGTATTCCATAAAATATAAAAGCATTCATACCTACATATTTTTCTTTTAATTCATGAACAGTTGAAACTGTATATAGAATTGCCACAACTGCTAATACACAACTCATAATTAAATAAACAATAAACAACTGTGGCAACTGAATCAGTTCTGTATGGGAATCTGTGAGGAAATGAGGCAGCTGGAGAGGACTTGAGCGTGTGAAGCTGACAAAACCTCACTGTTAGAAGCCATTACAAGGGAATGGTTGGGGAAGACACAGCATGCTGGAAAAGACTTACCATGTTCTGTGGTGATTTGTAAAGTGTGGAGATTATGAATGGCGCTGTAATTATGTGTAGTCCCTAGTTGTGTGTAAAAGTGATCAATAAATCTAATATCCATTCCAAAATCCCACCTATAGTCACTCATACATGTCACAAAATAATGCCACCTGAGGCCAGCCCAATAGTATACTTCATAAATTCCTGCATCAGTAATACCAACACTGTGACCTCTCAAACTGTTGAGGTAATAACCTTCATGTAAACTGAATAAATTAACTGATCATCATGTCACTTGGTATTTACGTCATGCCACCTCAAGCCATCTCAACAGTGTACTCTATAAATCCCTCTCAAGAGTAATACCAACAGTGAAGCCTCTCAAACTGTATTTATTCATTGACTTCATTATGCATACACGCTGAAGTTAGTTTCTGTCTGCTGTATCAAAAAGTAAAATAGAACTTCCTAGAACTTCTTGTCTTTGTGGTAAACATCATGAAATTTGTTGCCCAAATGTACATTAAAGTTACAAAGGGACATCCTGACCAATACTTCTTTTTACATGTTTCCATTATTAAGTAATACCTATGTTATGTGAGATTTCAGATTCCTACAGGGTGAACATGAAGAGTATTGGCTTCTGAAATGTGACAAGGTGTAGTCTGATAGAAGTTTACTGAAGTTTTAGAAGAATGTACTGCTTTCATTTTCAGGGTAACAGAGTAAGCTAAGCAGCAGTAGAGTGGGGGAAAGTGATATGGATAAAGGCTGCACAGGAAGGCCAAGGCATAAAAATAAAGGGAAAGAGTAAGAATATTGGGGCCCTCATACAGCACATCTGTCATCCCAAGGGAGAGACAGGTGAAATGGGAGAATGCAGGACAGCCCTAGTGCAAGAGAGAGGACAGAACAAGGCACTGTCCAGCACTTACGGCAAAGTATGACACACGAGGAGCAGGAGGAGCGACCCAATGTGTGTGGGAGCATGAATAAGACTAATGGGGGCTGATGGCAGGACTTGGGTGGATGATGAAAAGGCTGGAGGTCCTACCAGTTGGACTGCTGCCCTGAAAAGGTCAGTTTAAACAGGCCTGATAGGGGAACCCCATCATGAGTATGCATATTGTGACGTGTATACCCACTGTTAGGCAAGCGGTCAGTATACATATTCCCATGATGCATACGCCCTTAACAGAAGGACATCCATTGCTAGGTAACAAACCAATAAACATGCATTCTTGACAACAGAAGATGGTGCTTTCCGTGAAGGTCCGTGCTGAGGAGTTGTAAGAAGGCAGTGAGAAGACAGGGTGGAGTATGGAACAGTAGTTGGAAGAACTGGTTGAGTTCTGGAGATGGTAGTTGAAGGTGACTGAAGAGAAATGGCAAGGAAGGAATTAGGTTACTTAGAATACTTCATGTGTGATTTGAAGTGGCAGTGAGACAGTGATAAATCCGTTGGCAGAATATGGCTAGTGAAGACTGAGAATCATAGTGCATGTGTAACGGTGAATTATAACGTGTGTAAATCAGTGATAGCATCGTAATTGCCGGTAGTTCTGGTGCGTGAATATAAAAGGTGCTAATACATCCAATCATCCAATCCAGATCCCGCCTTCTAAGTCACACAACCACCCCTACACGTGACAATGAGTTCAGCTTACTCTGCAACAGTGAAAATGGGGGCAGTGCTGTTTCCCTTAACTGTTGGTAAACTTCTATCTGACTACATGGTGTCACATCACAGAAGAGAGTCTTCTTAACATTTATTTTAGATTTTACATTCAGGTGTCACTGAAAACACTTTTGATACAACCTTGTCTTACTCTCAGACTGCAAGCTTTCTGAATTGGACCATGTTAACAGGACTTGTTTTAATTATGCACAAAGTTTAGCAGAATCTTTATGAATGACCCAGCATATATGATGAGCTGTCATTAAATACGAGAACTACAAGAAATAGATGGATGAGTCCAGTGCTAAGTGTTTTTTGTATTAGATTATGTACTCACACACATTTTTGTTTTATGTTTGAAGAACTACTCTTACTGGGGGAATGTGGTAGCATGGTTGGTTGAGGCACTATGCTGCAGGATGGAAGGTCACGGGTTTGATTCTCAATGAGGTCACTGGATTTTTCAATTGACCTAATCCTTCCAGCCGCACTAAGTCCCTGGGGTTGACGCAGCCTCTAACAGAAATGAGTACCAGGATTTTTCCTGCAGTGTAAAGAGCTGCTGGTCGGCATGTGAGGCTGACAACATCACCGTCATCTGTGAGCCAACTGTCTAGAAAATGTGGGAGCCTCACAACCCTATGGACCCCCAAAGCCTATTGCAGGAATAGCTTTATCTTTTATTTTCGTAACTACTCTTACTACGATCACACAATAACACCTTACCACTATATGCTGCTATTGTGGCATATGTTCCATGAGTGCTTGCACCAGGAGGTTTGGGAGCTGGTCGTGACGGTTGGAGCGAGACTAACTGTTCATATTCATGTGGAGACTCTCCTCCTGCCTCACCATTTATTGGGGCCTTGTTGACAACTGCAGCAGCTGAGTAAGGTTGTGGACTATTAAAATGAGGGAGATAGGTCGGAGCCGGACTCAAGCTGAAAAAATTCGAAGCAAATTGCTGAATGCAGGTTTTTGTAGCCGGTTCTGAATCTTTTGAGACTTATGATGCATTACACATTTAAGGTTGTTCTGTGTTTCAGNAGACTAATATTCAAATTTAATGAAACACAAGAATCATAATGAAATTTATATTTATGAGAATATGGATCCACATCAGGAATGCAATTCAATACAAGTAGCACAATTCCATGAATATTTGCCTGATGATGACCCAGCTGGGTCAAACATGTAAAAACCTTACATAATAAACGAATATTAATGTAGTAATATCCCTTTCTTTATTATGAATTTGTTATGTTGACGGTTGTATAATAATACTACATATCATTTCTCGCTGTGTGCCACAAAAGACACTTCTAAGTAACTTTCTGGTTTTCATATTTCTAAAATAGGTTTGGACTTGAATGTTGTTGTTCTTTGAGTGAACACCTGACCTCACTGTGTCTGTCCCAAGTGAATTATAACTGGAATTTTTCTGCCTAGCCTAGGTTTAGTCCTTACAGTGACAAATGTGGCCTGGGCCATTTCTTATTCTCTTTTCGAGTAATATAATGTTCATGTTTAGCGTACTTCGTCAAGTTAGTTGTGCTGAATTATTCATTATTTACTTGCCTCAATCAGTCAACACTACTTAAATTAGAACCAGTCTGCACAATATATATTACAAAACAACATAAAGATAGCTTTGGCAGAGTCTCAATAACCACATACAGAGCAAGACATGAGCTGCAATACATATCATAAAGAAAACAGCCCAACAATAGATATGTCAGGCTACACTCAGATATGGTATAGAGAGGCAGCACATATGAACATACTAGATGTTAGCAGGAGAATCTGAAAGACACAAGGAGCTTTTGCCAAGCTGCAAAAAGTCTGGCAGTCTACCCTTGTGAACAGACACAAAGATGGAAGTTTTCAATGCTTGTGTTATATCTGTGCTTTTATATGCCTGGCTTGTTACAAATGAATTAAGAAGGAAAATTCAAATGTTTATTAATAGATGTGTGAGATATATTTTAAGAATATGGTGGCCTAGAACAATTTCAAATAGAGGGCTCTGGCAGTTACCTGGACAAGTAGATATAAATATGAAGATAAGGACACGAAAATTTAGATGGATTGGCCACAAGCTGAGGAAGAATGATGAACAGCCATCAAACGCTGAACTCCAGTGGAATCCTCAAGGAAACAGATGAAGGGGGAGACCAAGAAACAGCTGGAGGAGATACGCTCTGAGAGAAACTGGAAGAAGTTAGAGTGAGCTGAGGTGTTTAGCAGCAGATCGGGATAAATGGGAAATGCTTGTAGACAACTTATGCTCCTGACAGGACTACAGAATATTATTATTATTATTATTATTATTATTATTATTATGTATGAATGTGCAGTGTAAGAAACCCATAACATCACAACCCAGCACCCCAACTACATCATACCCACAACAGCAGAGAAGAATCAAGACAGGGATAGCCAGTGTACTGTTAGAATGTTCAAACAGGCATTCACAACTAACTCAAACTATTTATCCATATACATAACTTTGCAATTTAATGCAAACCCATACACACGACGGTGTAGTACTAAAATTCTTTTAACATTCATATTAATTAATTTTCAACTAACTTCAATTTTAATTTAATTTAATTTAATTTTATACCAATATGGCTTAAAGCCAAAGAGTAAACAAACCAGAGGTTCACTATTCAGCAATAATCACGCAATCACATGGTCAAATATGAAGAAAATATGGATCCATATTTGAACAAAAATTTAGCATCTAAATACATAGAGATACACCCGATGATGACCCCATAGGGGTCGAAACATGCTGTGATTAACATTAATGTATATAACCTTTGCCATTACTTTTACCTGAATTGTTGTGTGGACGGATACAAATATATTGTTTTAACATAAATTTCAGTAAACTGTAAGGACTTTATTTGTTGTTGCATAATGGAGAGGAATTTTTAACCCTCTAAACTTATTTATCTCTGCCACTCATGCTCATGCCCAGAACAGTACAGTTTCTATACAAATACAGTGATCAAATGACTGTGAGCCTGACCTGTACAGAGTGATCTGTGATAACAATATACAGAATATACACACTCAAATTTATGTACCTGATACATAACTACACACACATGCACGCACACACAGCACCTACATGAAGCAGAATCCCTCTTGAGAAAAGAGGTCATTGAGTTGGTCCAAACACCACCCTCCATATTCACATTCTGTGACATTCCTTTTATACTTTGATAAAATTTAGAAGAGTTTTGTATTCTTCTGTTTCTCCCTCCATCAACAAAATATAAGTCATGCATGATAAAATGCATCATGAGAACTGGTAAGAATAATACACAATGAATTAACCGACAGTTTGGTCTCTTGACGTGTAAGCATTCAAATTCTAAGGGAAACAGAAACAGAAACAGGGAGATAATTGCAAGTTCTATTAGTGTTTTGTGCCATATAAAATCTAAGAACAGTAAATATGGAAATGCTTATAACGTATATGTGCCAATCAAACTCACTCCATCTACAAACAGACCTGCGTATTCACTTCATCCTTCTGAAAGCCACAATGGTTCACCACCTGACAAGTCCACTTCTACTTGAACCATCATTGAAAATAAATTTGAGCTAACTTTCATACTACTGACTATACGCACAATCTTATGACTGATAACATACATCATACCTGTAAAGCAACTGGGATGGTTGTGTTGCACTGGGTTTATTTACAGGTGCTAAACTTGGTCCACATTTAAAGCACACAGTCATCCCATTAATTTCTCTGAAATAAAGTAATGAAAAAAAAAAGTGCAATGATTGAAGCAATCAGAAACAGACAATGTTAGTAATATGTAAGATTTGAGGCTTTCACAGCGGTGATTATGAAGAAAGCAGTCTTCTAGGATTTGGCACCGTGTATATGTGCTGTTGACCAACGTTTCGGAGGAATGTATCGCCTCCATCTTCAGGGTAGGAGGAAAATACACAAAATCTGCAAGCGAAGAGACCGTGAGAACCGGTAAAAGCAGACTGGTGTTGGAAATATACACAGTTATGTGAGAGCAGTGAAGGAAGGGGGGAAGGGCAAGTATACAAGAGAAATCAGTAGTGTCGGAGGGGGGCATGAGCTGGGACAAGCAGGGTTTTGTGCTGGGGGGAGAGAAAGGCAAGGTTAAAGGCTGGGCACTAACCCTTAAGCTGGGGGTGGGAGGTGGGTGTTGTTATGTTAGTCGGTCATGGCCTGTGTAGCCTTCTGGATCTGGCATCATATCACAGGGGTTTTTTTAAGAGACCAGATGAGAGGCTCCCATGACTTGCTGAGACAACCCCCCCCCCTCTGTTCATATTTTCGGGATGAAGTTCAATCTGAATGGCTTCCCTAATGATGTGATCCATATAGCGGGTCTTCGTGGCATGGATTGAGGTATTCTGAAGCTGAATACGGTGTCCTAAATCAATGTTGTGTTCAGCTATGGCTGGCTTGTCCGGATGTTCAAGACGGATGTGCCACTGATGCTCCTTCAACCTCATGTCCATGGAGCGGCCTGTCTGCCCAATATAGACCTGCCGCACTCGCATGGGATACTGTATACACCCGGCGTCCTTAAGCCCAGGCTATCTTTAACTGGCTGGAGGAAATTGGATAATTTGTTTGGAGGCAGACCCACTGCTTTGATGTTGTGCCGGGACAGCACTCTGCTGATACGGTTGAATATGGTCCCGACATAGGGAAGGAAGATGACTGAGCCCGGTTTGTCTTCAGGCCGGCTGATGTTGGGCCGATGGTTGAGAACTCTGGGGATCTGCCAGTTGTTGTATCTGTTCTTCTTGAATACATCCCTCAGGAGCACCAACTCTGCATGTAGGCTGTCTTGATCATACAGTGCTCTAGCCCTGTGCACCAATATGGGAAGTGCAGCTTGCTTGTTGGAAGGGTGGTGGTGGGATACAGTGTTAAGGTAGAGGTTTGAATGGGTGGATTTGCGGTACACTCTATGGCTCAGAGAACCATCGGGTCCCCTGTAAATATCTATATCGAGGAAGGGGAGGTGGTCTTCAGTGGTGGATACTATTTAGGTGGTTCAGGAAGTCCTTGAGCTTGTCGGGACTGTGTGGCCAGATGATGAAGGCATCGTCCATGTAGCGAAACCAGCAGCGGGGCTTGTGTGGGGCCAAGTCAAGTGTCCTCTCTTCGAAGTCCACCATATAGAGGTTAGAGATGACCAGAGAAAGTGGTGAGCCCATCGCCACACCATCGTTTTGTTCATAGAACTGGCCATTGAAGTTGAAGTATGAGGTTGTCNACTGACAAGGGTAATGTGGCCGTGGTACTGGATATGTCTGACTACAACCGAAAGATCGCTGCTCTCTTGGAGGATAAGGCCTACAGGAAGTTGAAGAAGGATCCGAAATGTCCTAGCAGATCCATCGTATCCTTTATAGTCACCCTGGTGAAGAGTGACACTACATCAAAACTGACCATTATATCGGGATGAACATGGAGAGAGTCCAATGTGTGGACNTGATACCATAGAGCGCAAGACTGTTCTTCTCATGAAAAAGTCCCCGATTGCTGTGGAGGTCTGCCAACAGCCACGACCTCAATGTTCCAGACCACCTAGACTCTATGGGTTGCCGAAAATCCACAAGCCTGACGTTCCACTAAGGCCCACTGTGAGCACCATTGGCTCTCCTACCTATCGCCTGGCCAAACACTTGGCTGGCCTACTGAGCACATACACTGGCAACGGTCCACACCACGTAAGTAACTCCATGGAATGTGTCCACACATTGGACTCTCTCCATGTTCATCCCGATATAATGGTCAGTTTCGATGTAGTGTCACTCTTCACCAGGGTGCCTATAAAGGATACGATGGATCTGCTAGGACAACATTTCGAAGAAGACATCTTGAGACTCTTCTGCCATATCCTGACAACCTCATACTTCAACTTCAATGGCCAGTTCTATGAACAAAACGATGGTGTGGCGATGGGCTCACCACTTTCTCTGGTCATCTCTAACCTCTATATGGTGGACTTCGAGGAGAGGGCACTTGACTTGGCCCCACACAAGCCCCACTGCTGGTTTCGCTACATGGACGACACCTTTGTCATCTGGCCACACAGGCCCAACAAGCTCAAGGACTTCCTGAACCACCTAAATAGTATCCACCAGTGCATTCAGATCACAATGGAAACTGAAACTGAAGGCCACCTCCCCTTCCTCGATATAGATATTTACAGGAGACCCGATGGTTCTGATACCATAGAGAGCAAGACTGTTCTTCTCATGAAAAAGTCCCCGATTGCTGAGGAGGTCTGCCAACAGCTACGACCTCAATGGTCCAGACCACCTAGACTCTATGGGTTGCCGAAAATCCACAAGCCTGACGTTCCACTAAGGCCCAATGTGAGCACCATTGGCTCTCCTACCTATCGCCTGGCCAAACACTTGGCTGGCCTACTGAGCACATACACTGGCAACGGTCCACACCACGTAAGTAACTCCATGGAATGTGTCCACACATTGGACTCTCTCCATGTTCATCCCGATATAATGGTCAGTTTCGATGTAGTGTCACTCTTCACCAGGGTGCCTATAAAGGATACGATGGATCTGCTAGGACAACATTTCGAAGAAGACATCTTGAGACTCTTCTGCCATATCCTGACAACCTCATACTTCAACTTCAATGGCCAGTTCTATGAACAAAACGATGGTGTGGCGATGGGCTCACCACTTTCTCTGGTCATCTCTAACCTCTATATGGTGGACTTCGAAGAGAGGACACTTGACTTGGCCCCACACAAGCCCCGCTGCTGGTTTCGCTACATGGACGATGCCTTCATCATCTGGCCACACAGGCCCGACAAGCTCAAGGACTTCCTGAACCACCTAAATAGTATCCACCACTGAAGACCACCTCCCCTTCCTCGATATAGATATTTACAGGGGACCCGATGGTTCTCTGAGCCATAGAGTGTACCGCAAATTCACCCATACAAACCTCTACCTTAACACTGTATCCCACCACCACCCTTCCAACAAGCAAGCTGCACTTCCCATATTGGTGCACAGGGCTAGAGCACTGTATGATCAAGACAGCCTACATGCAGAGTTGGTGCTCCTGAGGGATGTATTCAAGAAGAACAGATACAACAACTGGCAGATCCCCAGAGTTCTCAACCATCGGCCCAACATCAGCCGGCCTGAAGACAAACAAGGCTCAGTCGCCTTCCTTCCCTATGTCGGGACCATATTCAACCATATCAGCAGAGTGCTGTCCTGGCACAACATCAAAACAGTGGGTCTGCCTCCAAACAAATTATCCAATTTCCTCTGGCCGGTTAAAGATAGCCTGGGCCTAAGGACACCGGGTGTATACAGTATCCCATGCGACTGCGGAAAGGTCTATATTGGGCAGACAGGCCGCTCCATGGACATGAGGTTGAACGAGCATCAGCAGCACATCTGTCTCGAACATCTGGACAAGTCAGCCATAGTTGAACACAGCATTAATCTGGGATATATCTCCATCCTTGCCCCAAGACCCGCTATATGGATCACATCATTAGGGAAGCCATTGAGATTGAACTCCATCCTGTCTCAGCAAGTCATGGAAGCCTCTCATCTGTTCTCTTAAAAAACCCCGTAATATGATGCCAGATCCAGAAGGCTACACAGGCCATGACCGACTAACATAACAACCCCCAGCCCCCACCCCCAGCTTAAGGGTTAGTGTCCAGCCTTTAACCTTGCCTTTCTCTCCCCCAACACAAAACCCTGCTCATCCCAGATCCTTCCCCCCCCTCCAACACTACTGATTTCACTTGTATACTTGCCCTTCCCCCTTTCCTTCACTGCTCTCACATAGCTGTTTATATTTCCAACACCAGTCTGCTTTTACCGGTTCTCACGGTCTCTTCGCTTGCGGATTTCTTATATTTTTCCTTCTACAATGAAGATGGAGGCGATATCTTCCTCCGAAACGTTGGTTAACACTACATATATATGATGCCAAATCCCAGAAGACTGCTTTCTTCAATGTTAGTTAGTTATTGGAGAAGGTGGGTTTTCCCCATGCACTTAGACCGTATTGGTCCATTGTGCTTCCCTCTATGATATTCTACCAGTCTCTATACCCTACCGATAATGGTGCGTACCATCAGTCCTGCCGAGCAAGCGAGTTCAGCCTCCACTTGCTTGGTGGTGTCTATAATGCTTCCCCCATCTATCAGAGGCGTTAGGGACTACTGTTGGGCGGGAAACGTCCTCGAATTTGGCTCAGTGACCTCCTTTGGAGATATGAGGTTCTTTTACGTGCCATAAAGCTACAACACGGGACACATGGCTTAAAGTCCCTCCCGGAGGACTTGTTCCCTGAATTTTTCCGCCCTTAAAAATTCGACGACCTCCGCTGGGTTTGAACCCGCGTACCACGAGTCATGAGGTGGGAACGTTACCTCTAGACTACGGAGGCCGCTTTCTTCAATGTTAGTAATAGTTCATATGTCAGAAGTATGTATAAATCTGCCCACATGATGGAACTCTGCAAACTGTGGAATATTTTCTGAATTCCAGCTGTATTACACACCAATATTAAATACAGTGGAACCCTCCCAATGTTCCCTGATTTGAAGTTTTCCTTATTAACCTACAATTTCAATGATTCCAAGTCAACATACAGACAGACATTGTCCATTAACTTGGGTATTATTATTATTATTATTGGAGGGGGTGGGTTTCCCCATGCACCGTGACCAGTTGTTGATCTATTGT